TCACAGCAATAGCGGGAGCTACGCGTAGACACGTCTACTCCATCTGCTGTCCGACGTCGTCTCCCCGTACTTTATATTATAATAACAATAATAATGACAATAATAATAGAGCAATTTGTATAAAATATGCAATTGTAGACAGAGATTAGAAATAGAAGTAAAAATACAAACACAGAAAAGACGAAAATAGTTGCACAAGTAAGAAAACAAAAAAAAAGTTGAAGCAAAGGGATAAAATGCAAAGCAAAATTGCAGAAACATACAGTATAACAGGAAAAAATTATATAAATGTAAATAACAACAGCAAAAAATGTTATGTACAGTGGTCCCTTGTTATTCTCTGGTGTTACGTTCTAAAAATAGTTCGCGATAGGTTAAATCCACTTAGCCAGTTTTATTTTCTACAATTATTGTAGATGTCTTAAGACTATAAAAACCCTCACTGCAGACTTTATACCTTTTCTCAGAAGGCAACATTTTCACACTTTTCTCTCATGCCAAACACTCTCATTTTAAAACATTTGTAGAAAAATAAGTATTATATAAAATGAAACCAAAATACGAAAACTTGTTGTCAGGTGCAAACATTCATCGCTGTCAGCAAAAGGTTCATAAAGCTTTTTAGCTTTTGTGCGGATCCAGCAGTGTTCTTTTTCTTGCAGTCACTGATCCAAAAAGCTAAAGCAGACTCTATCCTTAATGTTATATGTAAGTTTTTGACTCTTCTAAACCATAAAAATTCCATAATATGTTTGCAGATATTTAAGAAAGATGCTAAATTAGCATTCTGTTTATGTGAAAAACAATGCTGAAGTCAGATATTCTCCTTTGAAATGTTTTTTTCGTGCCAGAACGATATCTTTATTTTGGTTCTTTTAACCCACCCAATGCCAGTTTAGCCAATTATATTTCAGCACCCCAGTTGCCTTGTTGGAAAACCGCACATTTCATTTATTTAGTCATGAAGGCTATCAAAGTATGCGTCCGTGACTGAAATCTGGTGGACAGTAGCAGACTTCAAAATGAGACACAGATTTAGAGTTCCACATAAGGTTATCAATCAGCAAATAATATAAATAGTACAAATGTAAATCTTAGGTAAGCAGGTTACATTGTAACCGCGTGTCCCAACAACATGCTAAATGATGAGATTTGCATTGATAATCAATTTGGCTGTTTGCACAAGATGAAACACGACAGAAATTTAAAAACAGCCATTCAGAATCACAGAATTGTGCACTCACAAAATGATAAGGTTTATAACCTAATTATTACATTGTATGTACATGCTGAATGCTTCATATTTGTTTAGTAACTTGGCTTGCACTGAGTAACAGTTCTAAAGTTCTAATTTAGTTTATTTTATTTTCATTTTATTTTTGAGCCTTTATTATACCTGCTCAACAGTCAGGCACAATCTGCGTTTGCATGTGTTTTGATTTAGGAGTGCAATACCTAGCGCTACCACTGGGTGTCAAATTTACATATACTGCACCTTTAAGGGGGTTGCACACCGGATGAGCCGTGCATATGACAGCTGGAAGTAACACACACCAGTCTCCCACATTGCATGTTATTTAAAATAAAACTATATAGACGGCGGTCTGTGGTGCGGCAGAAATATGAACAGTCTCCTGAGTCGTAGCTGGGCACCCCAAACAACCGCTGTCTTACGGCACCGGTGTGTACCTTGATATAATCCTATCCGGTGTGCGACCCCATTTACGATGCTTTTGATACGGACAGTTACTACCCTTTTTGCATTCTTGTTGAAACTCGCACTGCTAGCGATCAAAGATTTATGTTAATTTGACAGGAGACATGGAGGAGATTGATTAACAATGGTCTACAGCCAATCTGGATGCAGAACACAATGCGCTGTAAAAGAAATAATAACGCATGTCAAATTGCACTAAAAAAAACTGTGAGGCCGCGAAAGGTGAACCGCATTATAGCAAGGGACCACTCTGTTATAATGTGTAAAGAAAGAGGAAGAGATTAAAGAGCCTTAGTATTATATTTAAAATGATAAAGTACAATAGTTAAATCATAAAGCTTTCATTTTCTCTTTTCTTTTTTTTTCCAGCTCTGTTTTCAAGTGGAGCCAGGTTTCTGCCAATTGCGTGTGCGTTTTGTATGCCTGCGTGTGAAATTAAGTCACTTAAATCAGAGACATTCTTCTCATGCAAATTAATTAATTTGGCAGTTTGGACACCTGCGATGCAACAGGAAGTGAAGATGATGCTTATGTAAGGCTTCCTGTGGTTATACAACTGCTTGACTGTGCACATACTCATCTCTTTTTGTTGTTTTCTCTGCCTGTCTCGCTCCGTCTTGCTCTCCCTCTCACTGAGCAATATGTATCGCACATCTATCCCACCTCCTACTGACAGGCTTTTTCAAAACTTCTCTCCTGTAGACAATCTCTGTTGCGTAGGGCATTTGATTTTCCCTGGGATGTCCTCAGAATATCTTATAAACTGGGGGCGGGATTTGCTCATTTGGGTTTTAACCATCTGCTGTACGCAAACTGTCTAGCTAGATATGTCAATATTGTGACTGTTTCTCGTAAAAGCAACTTCATTATTATATTCTTTCATTTAAGATATAATGTTTGTAATGAAATGGACCCTTTTTAAATTTTTGGGTTATTCAGCAGTGGAAGTCATTATAGTTTGGTAAACTTGAGTGCAGAATGAGAGAGAACCACAAATATATATTTTTTTGCAGTCCTATTTGAATTTAAGTGAAATTTCGCAAACTAATTTCAATAGGAGCATGGTATATGATTGATTGCAGCTGGTCTCTCATCTATAATCAATAGTAAGCCAGTCAGATTAATTCCAACTCACTATAAGTAGCCCAGCTAAAACTTCTCTGTTATCTTCACTTTCCGAAGAAACCCCCATCCACTCCATCTTTCCCTTTCCTCCTTTACCAGGGGGAGCTCTCGAGAAATACCTGATCTCGTACCCCCCTTACATGCTCATTGACCAGGCGGGAACCCTGGGCTCAATTATCTCCAAACTCAGGGTTCTCTCCCGGGACAGCATGCCAAACCTGCTATTATTATCAAGCAATATGCGAGTGCAAACTCTTAAAATAACAAAAGATAAGTGATAGTGTTATTACTATTTTCAGAAAAAGGAAAATAAATGTGTGAAACTAATACTGGCAGCCAGAAAAGTAAAAAATGTACAAATGTTTGAAAAATCCTCCTTTGAGGATTTAAGAAGCTTACGACTGCTAAATGTTTCATCATCTCTTGTGAAAATGATCCATGGTGATATACTGTAGCAACCCAAACCCAAAAAGTGTATTTTCAAATCTAAGTGCCAAGCTGCTCCCTACACTCTCAGAAATAAAGGTACAAAATTAGTCACTGGAGTGGTACCTTTTAAAAAGGTACAATTTTAAATCATACTGGTGGACCTTAGTACGTTTAGGGTACACTTTTATATCTTTAAGGTTTACTTTTGTACCTTTTAGTTAATGTGAGGTACACATTTGTATGTTTTGGTAAAATACACCTTTTAAGAAGGTACTGCCCCAGTGTAAGATTTTGTATCTTTATTTTTGAGAATGTAGCAACAAAACTGACTGGCATTTTATGGTTTATTTAAAAAGTTTTAGCAACCACGCAGAATACTCTAGAATCTCCATATAAACCACACAGTTCATCTTACACCTAAGCAACTGCTCAACAGTTTAGCAACACCCTAGCAAAACCTCAGAACACCATAGCACCTAACCATCAACCGCAGGACTTTGATTTTGGAGAGCCACGATCCTGTTTTGCTCTCTAGTGACACACTTAAACAAGCCAGTCAGGATCTGAGTGTTACTAGAAAGCTGTAGACAAGTGAGTTTTTATCAAAGCAAGATCAAAACTGCACAAATGTGGCTTTCCAGGGTCAAACCTGCTGCAACCTTGCCTAGCGAGACACAATCAACCACACACAACACTCTAGCAGATGCCTAGTAACCACCTTGTAGTTACTCAGTACACCTTGGCAACAATCTAATAACATTTTAGCTACTGCATAATCACCCAGAACACCTTTTTTTCAGATGCCTAAAAACAACACAACAACCAACTGCATAAAACAAACCAGAACACTAGCAGCCATCTTGCAACAACATAACCACCTAATTACCACCCAAAATACCCTAGCAACTGGATAGAACCCTCTTATTACCTCTGCCTTACAAGCACTCAGAGCATCGTAGCAACTGCCTTGGAACACTCTCACAACCACAGAGAACATTTTGGCAACTACCTAGATCACCCTAACAAGCCCAAGCAAACAACTAGAAAAACATAGCAATTGCCAACCATAGTAATACCCAGATTACTTTAGCACTGTCCCTTGAAGCTCATCCAGAGAATGCCAAAAGTGTGCGAAGCAGTAATCAAAGCAAAAGGTGGCTACTTTGAAGAACCTAGAATATAACATATTATTAGTTGTTTCACACTTTTTTGTTATGTACAAAATTCCACATGTGTTATAGTTTGATGCCTTCAGTGTGAATCTACAATTGTCATAGTCATGAAAAGAAGAAAACTTTTTGAATGAGAAGGTGTGTCCAAATTGCTGGTCTGTTCTGTAGGTTTAATAAAATCCTGGTTGAATTGTGAACATGAACATTTCTCTGTCAAACATGACCACACTCGGCCTGCAGCTCCTCATTATCTGTAGTTTAATTATTGTCGTTCATATTCATAGTCCAGAGATTTGATACCTCACTCTCCTAGATGACTCCAGCAGCCAGTAATCGGTTATATTGCACATCATCGCTTTCCGAGAGAGCTGCGGTGCCTCACAAAAGGCCTTCAGTACCCTCAATTTATTGAAGTGTGCATTCTACATTAAAATGTAGATAGAGTTACTTAAGGGTCTGTTGCATGAGACCGGATTATCTTGACTAATATAGAGCAGGCTCATCACAGTGTCCTTTGTAAGTTATTAATGCTAACATTAAACCCTTTTCTGTTATAGCCAAAGCAACGCACATCACTGTCCTCCTCCCAGGACGTCCAGAAGCCCCTGCAGAACCACAGCGGGGATCCCTCGGAGGTCAGCTCATCACTGGGATATGCCAGCTTCAGCACCAGCCCGCCTGCCAGCCCTCCAATCAGCCCTGCAAACTGCTCAACTGGGTCAGCTGAAGACTACGCCCTCACTGGTAAGACTTAAATTTGTTTGGTATTCTGATACTATTTATTTAATTGGCTGGTAATTAATTTATTTCAGTTTAGTTTTAGTTTGTTTCTGGTGCAGGTACAATAAAAATGTAGCAATACGTAGCAATGAAAACATGACATAAAGCACTGTTTCTTTTTTAATTTTTACATTAACAACTTAAAAATAACAGACGCCAAAAATGTTAAGGCATCATGTACATATTTATATGACCGTCATCTTCACTGTATGCAAATTTATAACAAAATCGAGCCTAATAACTGCCTCCTTTCATTTACATTGAATAATATAAAACATTAGGCTATATGCACACAATACAGATTATCAGAGGAAATGCACAGTGAAACGAAATAGCCGTCTCTTTTGCTGAATATACTAATCAGTAAGCTATAATTTTAATAATAATTATAAAATTATAAAGTACAATAAGTTTATACAATATAGGAAATAAACGTGCGGAATCAGTGTATATGGTTCAATAAATTAATAGGTATATTGATATGTTACGTGAGAACAAATAGTCTAATAGTTTTAAAAGACCAAATCATGAGGTATAGGTCTACAAAAGATGAATTATAGAGTAGATTGTGTTTAACAACTACTGTATAGAGAGATAAGATCCAGCGGTAGATTCAGAATGCACTGGCCTGGACAGCCGGAGAGGTGTGCTCAGAGCTTCCGCTGACTGCCTGGAGCTCAGATGCAAGAATACATTGAAGCAGTGTTAGGTGCATGCCAGAGTGCTTGTATGGTATGTGATGTGCGTTGTCAGTGGTGTTGTGTGGACGGGGAGCTTTTCAGAAACGCTAGATGAAATGCCAGTATGGACGTGGATCATTTTTGTTCTAAAATGCTGTTTTAAAGCGAAAACATATTGTGCATAAAGCAAACTTTAGTGCATGCTCAGCTTATGTTAACTTTTGTGAAACCTTTTAGTAATAAAAAAATAATAACAGACACTAAATTAGGAAAAATTTAGACAATTTTTTTGGCAAGTGAAGATTTTTATTTTTCATTTGACTTTAAAAGTGCTATCTACAGTATGTACTTTTCTTAAACACCCACAGGTCAGATTTTCCACCTCAGAATTAGTGCTTAATAATTCTGAAAACTTATTATTTTTGATAAATATAAATGCATTTAAATGAGTTTTTCAGTTGCTAGTTTTAGCTAGTTTTGTGTTTTCTGTTATTGTACATTTTCTTCTTTTATTTCAGTTAACGGAATAGATTTTTGACCAATACTTTTAGTCTTAGTTTAGTTTAAATGTCTGTTGTACACCAACAGATATTCGACTTATTGGTAAAACATGGCTCTAAAATGTTGCGTTTTATTCCCTTTTATGCATTATTAAATGTGAAGGTTACACATTATTTAAAGACATGGTTCTTTCATTCATCATAAAAGCATCTTTGCCACAGTGAATTGCTAGTAAACTTATACATTTTAATGTGGCTGTGGCTTTTATAGTCAGTCTTTTGTGTATGTCTGATAGTATGTTCATAAGTTGAGAACTCATGAATAGCTTTTGAAATATTGTAAAGAGTCAAAACTGTGCTAGGAATTCCTCACACAAAACCATCTGCTGCAAGGGGACACATTTTTGAAGCGTCCATTGAACTGTAATAGCCAACATAACATTATGATTATGAATGAACATTCTGTTCTGTTTATAGTAGGGTTGGGCATCTAAGCTATAATGCCGATCCGATACGCATCTCGATACAAAGAATACGATCCGATATATTAGCGATACATTTGTGACATATTGCGATGCAACACGATACGATTCACACCCATATCACGATACAATGCGATAATTCAGCACTAACTAATTACATCAAGTTTATGAGATGATGTGAAAGAGGATGCTGTGCCATTGAATGAGTTTGATTATTTATAAACCAAGCAAAACCAAGACCATTTTTACAAACTGGCTTTTCTCTCAGAGCCAGAGTGTCAGTTTACAGTAGAGGTTCATTTTAGAACATATAGCACATATTATTTAAGTATTTTCAAGATAAACAGATTGTATAAGTGCAATATATATTAAAAATATATATATTTGCACTCTTTCAACATTAGGGTTTACCATTGCACAACAAGAATTGTGATTTAACTTTTCAACTATGAAAACAAGTTTTACAAAGATATTTTGCCACTGAATATTCAAAACTTAAAGTCGTGAACTAGCAGTGTTATGTTGCTTTGAAACATCACTGTCACTGTAAACAACAGGCTAATAAAAGTATAATTAAATAAAAATTAACAGGAGGTGTTTAAAACCTTCGTTCTCCGTGACACTAGGCTGAATATCTTTGCAGATGAACAATGCAATAGCATTCGTTATTGGCGTAGAGCGAGCAGAACTGTTGCGCATGGAAAAAAACTTTTCTCACCGCTTTTGGAGCTGGTAGCTACAGTTGAAGCAGTGCAGGAAGCCGGGGATGCAGGAACACTGGAAGATGCTTCCACAACAACACCGTGGCGCCGCTTCAAGTGAGATTTCAGATTAGTCGTACTGCCCGTGTATTTTACAGATGCGCGGCACATTTTGCAAATTGCATCTGTCCTGTCATGTCGTCCATCCTTAAATCCATAATGTTGCCACACTTTAGGTTTAGAACTCATTGGGGAATAAAATGTTTGTTTTGCTTCTCGCGCTTTCTGAGGGCGCATCACTAGCTTCATCCGCACACCTGATACACTGAGTTGTAGTGTAACAGTACACATCCGCAAGTCCGTTGCTAAGGCATATCTTATGTAGTTTGATTAAATTATGCGCCAAAAACAGGTTGACAACACTTGTTAATAAATAAAAAATACATTCTATATTAAAAATATAAGCTGTATCTTGGAAAAACCGATGCATCTCGCAAAAACCGATACATCTCGATTTGCTTCCAAAATTTCATTCATCCTCTGCTGCTCTACCGATGCACTCGCATCGTGCACGCGCATGACCGCGTATCGATACATATCGGTTAATCTTCCCATCCCTAGTTTATAGGCACATCTTGTGACATTAAGTGCGTTTACATGAACAATTTAAATACGATTAAGACAATACTCTTATTAATATTCTACCATGTATACAGCGATTTTGAATAAATTAATCCGATTAAGGTCATAATCTAACTAAACAGAGATCGAATTAAGACATGTGGAGTATACTGATCTTAGTTGCATTATTGAAGTGCAGTACAGACATGTAAACACCTTAAACAAACACCATCGTGTAGGATTTTTGTTGCATATTGTGACAGGATAGTCTATACACACACACAGCTGTTTGACACTATTCTCTGCACCTTTTGAGTCAGTGAAGAACCAATATCTTGTTTGTTATAGGGGCATGCATGAAATGTGTATAAATGAAAGTGAAAGTGCCAAAATACAGTTAAAGTCAACAGATTAAGAATGAAACACCCAGAAATTTCATGAAGCTCTGGAGGATATGTGGATAGCTTTCTGACACAATGACGCTAATAGAATTATGTTCTGTAACATGTAAAACTGGATCATGAAAGGAACATTCAAAACTCATGTAAACACCTTAATCATGTTATTGTCTTACTCAGATTGAGCCAAATAATTCAGTTACTGATGTCCATTTAAACATAGTCACTGTGTCCAGTTTTTGGTTCATTTTGTTTGTGTTCTTTTTATATTTTAACTGAACTGGGTCCCTCATGTTTAAAGGGATAGTTCACCCCAAAATTACATTTCTGTCATCATTTACTCACCCGTTACTTGTTTCAAACCTTTACGAGTTTCTGTCAAGTCATGTCGTGCTTTATTGTCATTCCGCTACATGTGTGGACATACATTACAGAGGAATGAAATGTTGTGTCTCACAGGACAACAGTGCTACATAAATTAATCCTAAATACAAACACTGGACATAAGAGCTCATAACTAACATATACTATAAGATACTTATCTACACACATAAGGCTATAAAAGTACTTTTACATGATTCCGAGTTGTGCAGGATATTGTGCAAGAGAGGTAATAAAGGTGAATTATGTGCAAAAGAGGTATTTAAGGTTTAATATTGTGCAAAAGAGTTAAGGTTGAAGCTAGCAGTACAACGTGATTAAGGTACATTTATAGGAAAAATCGTTTTCATTATTGAGTTCTTGGAAGATAGAGTTTGGATAAAGTGTCAGGTGCATAAGAGAGAAGAAGATTTCTACAGGTGGTTTGTCAATTCTTCTCACCAGAATGTGTTTTCAAGAAACATGGAGTAATAAAGAAAGTGTCTGTAGTGCAAATGAGAGGGTGTCTATTCTACAGGTGGTTTGTTCCACTCACCTGTATGACATACTCAGGAATATGGGGTGGGGAGTGGATAAGATTTCAAAGGGGGTAAATTGACTGGAGTTGAGGGCTCTTACAGCCTGTGGGAAGAAACTGTTGAGAAGTCTAGTCGAGCAGGCTCTAATACTTCGAAACCTTCTTGCTGATGGCAGCAGCTGGACGAAACTGTGAGAGGGGTGGGTAGGATCTTTTCACACTTTTCTTAGGGTGAGCAAGATATTTTTTTGAAGCCAGAAACCTTTAACCATTTACCTCCATAGGATTTTTTTTTCTTAGTATGGAAATAAAAAGTTTTCAGCTTTCTTCAAAAAGCTTTTTTGTGAACAGAAGAATCTCTTAAATGTTTTGAACCACTAGAGTGTGAATACATTTTTATTTTTAGCTGAGCTATCCCTTTAAATTAAGAAACACTAGGTTTGCAGACAAATATTTCACGTTAAATCCCTTAGCAGACATAAAAAAGACATGATCTGTGAAAATTGCTGACATGCAGAAAAAATATAGCCGTTAAATTGTCTAGTGTCCGAGTGAGCAAATAAGTGTAGCTTTGGAAAAGATTTGCTTTCTCTTCAAAGGGAATGGATGTCTTTAGGCTTTTCTCAGCCAATGATATCAGTGTTTAGATCACCCGCCCTTTCACGTCTCCTGTACAGACATGTT